GTGGGGTCACAGGTGTGCGTGTGTGGGGTCACAGGTGTGTGTGCGTGGGGTCACATGTGTGCGTGTGTGGGGTTACAGGTGTGCGTGTGTGGGGTCACAGGTGTGCGTGTGTGGGGTCACAGGTTGTGCGTGTGTGAGGTCACAGGTATGCGTGTGTGGGGCGGTCACAGTTGGATGTTGCCTGTGTGTTGCTTGTTTATTGGCGTTCCGTATTCCATGATATGGCATGTGCGTTTTGATGTCCTGTCGTGGGCTGGTTGGTGGCTCGCTCTTTGTTGACCACAAATCGGCGGTGTTTGTGATTAGAGTTATGTCGAGGGTAGCCATGGTCGTGAGTGGACTACCATATTGCGGTCATTGTAGCCTTTGATGTTTGTTGATAGGCTTTCAACCAATGTGGTACTCGCGCTTGTTAGAAAAATCGTGACCATTGTGATACTCCAACTCAGTTGAGATGAACTCAGGTAGTAGAACGTCTACGTGTGCTGCTCTGCATGCGATGTGAAGTGTGTTCCGGTTGTAGGCGTAACCGCATCGACATAGTGGCATATTCACGGGTTTGCTGTCCAAACTTGATCCGAGTTGTTAACTTTAGCCGAACTAACCCGATTGTGAGTGAATCTGTGTGTTGTCAGTGTACGTGTGGTCTATGCATACCCACTGCTGCTAGTATGCTGACAGCATCCCCACCCGTACCATGGAAGTACCCGTACGATTACATTTATGCATGCATCAGTAACAAGGGCGGTTGTTGAGCGATCCCAAGACTTCCTTCTATCATCCGTTCGGACCCTAAAGGATACTTTTGTCTTGGACCACGCAGTGTTCTCGCAAATCCTGCTGAAGTTTCTCATATCTCGTCTGGATGCCCTTGGTGGCGACGACGACATTCTGGCCAGTGCAATGCTCAAGCTATTCAAACTAGTGTTCAATGCCGTCCACATGTTCCCGGAACAAAACGAGGTCGTGCTGCAAGTGAATCTCAGCACCATCATCATGCGGTCTATGACCCTCGCCACCACTGTCCGGCAACCCAACAAGCTCTTCCTTCTGCTGCGCAACCTATTCCGGTCTATCGGCGGGGGCAAGTTCGAGATGCTCTACAAGGAGTTTCTGCCGTTGCTGCCGGTTCTGCTGGAGCGCCTTAACAAGTTGATCCTGGTCGCCTGCCACCGCACTACACAGTATCTGTTTGTTGAGCTGTGCCTGACTGTGCCTGTGCGGTTGTCGGCGCTGTTGCCTTATTTGCACTGGCTTATGCGTCCGCTGGTTCTGGCGCTCTCTGCGGGCCCCAACGACTTGGTGCTGCAGGGCATGCGCACACTAGAGCTGTGTATCGACAATCTCACGCCGGAGTACCTAGACCCCATTATAGCCCCCGTCAAAGAGGAGCTTTTGCACGCACTCTGGATCCACATCCAACCCCCTCCCGCCTACCAGTCCCATGCATTCACAGCCATGGTCATCTTGGGCAAACTCGGCGGACGAAATAGGCGAGCGCTTAAAACGCCACCGCTACTGGAGTATGTGCACGACCCGTTTGTGGGCGTCAAGTGTCGGTTGTCTGTACCCACGAGCGCCGTCAATAGCCAGGAGTTGCTGATCAACTACCGTACCAGGACCGGCGAGAGCGAGGACAAGGCCCGGAATGACCAACCCACTCTAACACTGACGCGCCCTACCACGGAGAATGTCTCGTTGCACCTCGGCAGCAATGGTTTGGCTGCTGGCGCGGCGGGAACAACGGGTAAGTCTGGGTTTTATCATTTTGCATAAGTAAGAGTATGGTTGGTGTTGGTGTTAGGTGGTCTTTAGGATCATCCACAATGAGGATCATGGTTGTCGCTGTTGTTGTCAGGGTCGCAAAAGTAGATACTATGGTCAATGCGAGAGTTGTGAGTGTGTGATATGTCGTTCAGTGCACCAATGTATCTAGTCCTTGCAACTACCTACAGCTGCAGCTAGTGTAGTCACTGCAGGCGCTCTTCTGGTGCCTGCGCGAATACTCCTGCGGATGTCTGTGCTTTTAAGATTGAAGATGCGTGACGTTCCTGTATGTGGTACAATATCGTGGGGCGTGTGGTCAATTTATCTGCGACGCCTTGTGCGAGCGTCGTTGCTTTGAGAGTCTGGAATAAGCTTCGAATTTATTGTCACGAACTTTATATGGATGCCTCACAACTATACCACTAATTGCCTCAACAATCACAACACTTATGTCTATAAATTTGCCTCAACAACCACCACACTTATGTCTGTAAAATTGCCTCAACATTTATATCACAAATGTCTATAAAAATGCGCAAGCAATATCCCATCATTTGTACGATACAAATTTCACTCCATTCATACTATTACAATACTCACAATTCCAACCTTCATCAACAGCGGCCGCACCGCCAGCGCCATCAACATCCTCAACACCATTGGGCGACTTCGAGCTACAGCTAGACGGCCCTCTGCGCCTGGCGCACTTTGTGCTAACGCGCGACCTGGACAACGCCAACTTCTCGTCGCCGTTTGCCGTGACATCGTTTGAGCCCAATTACCGCGTGAACGGGAAGATGGCCTGCACCAACACCAACTCCTCCCCCATCGCCACCCAAGCCACGGCAGCCATGGCCAGTGCTGGTATGACTAAGACTGCGGCCAAGGAGAACGGCATGGGCGGCAGTGGAGGCACCGGTGTGGACTTGGGGCGTGTGCGAGAAGTGCACCGACGGCACGCGCTCGAGCTGGCGCAGTGTGTGGTGGTGCTGACTCTAGAGCTCACTGCCACGGGCAATACCAAGGATCTACTGGCTACCTTGGCCGCTAAGAACAGGACCAAACCCACTGCCGCATCGAGCGGGGACAGTGGTACTACCAGTGCTACAGTGAAAGCCAAGGCCGCAGATGCAAGTGCGCAGGGCCCCGCGGCAATGGATATCGACGAGAAGGGTCCAGCCGGTGAGGAAAAGGCAGCCCGCACTACACTGCCGGGAGAAGCGCGTGTGCAGAGAGAGCAGCTGGTTATGGCGCTGATGTGTGTGTGCGCGTCCATGGCTATGCCAAGCCTTGCGGAGGATGCCACGCTGTTTATGGCGGGCGTGGTGAGGCACTTTGCGATACTGATGACGACGGAGCAGCGGTCAATGTCGCGTGCAAGGTGAGTGGGGTTGGCCTCGAAGTGAGTTTGAGTGCGTATTACTTTACTGCTTCCGTTGCAGAATGCACCCCTGATTGAGTGTGCATAAGGTTGCTATCTATTCTTTCCTGGGGCTCCGGAGTTCACTGTAGTGTGTTCAGAATATGACGAGTCTCTATTGTAGATATTGAATGGTCCATTCATCTATGTTTACTATTGTGTGCAGAACTTGCGTGCTTTACACTTCATCCGCATAGTCGGTAGGTGGTATATGGTCTTGTACAGTCTCTCTTGTCTTGCGGTCGGAATGGCCGTATACGGTGGGTTGCCCCACCCACCCTTTGGGTCGCAGACGGCTATTACATATGTTGGAGCTGTGCGCGTGGTTCATCTTGGCGGTCTGTTATAGCAGGCCCACTTCCAAACGTTTGCCGACGCGAACTCATAATGCGATATGTGACAATTCTCTACAGCACACCCCCCGCACCAAAGGCAAAGCCAACGGTCGCGATAGATTCGTCGGTGATTGTTGATGTAGTTGGACAGTGCTACACTAACATCAAACGGGAATGGGTGGATGTTGGGAAACGCATAATGGATGATTTATTGGCCTGTACTGCCACTTGCCTTGATGCAGGTGAGTTGGAATCGTTGTTCACACCCGTAGTCTTTAGTTTTGAGTGATGTGTTATGTTTCTTCTGCGTCCGGGCGTTAAAGGTAACTTCTCGAACGGTGGTTATGTGTCAGAACTGGTTTTCATGCACATGGGTGTGCTAAAATCCCCTACGTGCATGGCTTCTGTATGTAGCTAGTATATGCCTATTTGTCGGATTGTGATTGTATGGTGTTAAAGGTCATCATATATATGAATATAGGATAAACTAGTACTTGTCTCTTACCGTGTCAGGCATGCACGCATCAGTCATCACGTCAAACTACAGTTGGGCTCACGCGATTTTGATTCGTCTAACCTTACATGGCTGATTTGCAAATACACAATTCAGCCATAAATACCACAACATATGTGCTTCAATTCTACTGTACACATATTGTCGTCAGCTTTTGAATTCCTGTCTGCATCTGTTTTCGCACCACTCCAGGCTCTGCCGGTACGCTCAAGCGCAGCAGCAGCGGTTCACCCCAACCAACCACTACGCCAACCCATACCTTAGAGGATGTGCAGCGGTTGATATTCGGCACGCGCATGACCGAGAGATTCGTCCTGGCCTGTTACCGCAATGCTTGGTATCAAAAGAAAGGTGGTACGCTGGGACTGCAGCATCTGTTCGCGTCCATGCCCCTCAAGTGGTGTGTGAGGCACCAGCTGCTCGCTGTGCAAGGGCTGGTGTCGCTTCTTAGTAAGGCAGATTTGGACGCCGGCAGTGTGGCTGAGGAAGCACTGCTGACGCTGACGGAGATCCTTACCAAGTGTAACCCAAGCTCAGCAGCACCCACACCGTCAGCAACGGGTCTTACAACCACCGCCAACGGGTCAGTGGCGGGCCCAGGGTCAAAAGTGCGAGGTACTATATCCACAGCCGTACCTGCACCTACATCCACGCCCACACCCAGCACCACGACTTCAGTACCAACAGCACCCGCTAGCTCCGCATTCAACATGCAGCAGACGGCGATCACACCTGGCACTGTGGGAAAGGCCAGTACGACCGCCACAAGCGCAGGCATCAAGCGCAACCCCACGACCGGGACATCTGCAACTACGAGTGCTGGCAACCATTCCATGCCCACACACGGGACCACCCCGCAAACCTCCGCAGGAGCAAACATCCCAACGCCCAACTATTTCATCAATGTGGTGACCTACCTGGTGACGCAGATGACAGCCACAAAGGAGCTGTGCCGCACAGCGGTGAACGATGCGCTGCTGCTGCTGGCGCAGTCGCGGGGGGTCAGTGTGGCGTCGTTGCTCACCACACCGTCGGTGCACGGGGTGATGCTGAAGACGGTTCTGCCCGCCATGGACAAGAAGAGCATGCGGTCGTTGTTCGATGCCAAGCAGGTGGGTGTGTTGGCGGGGTTGAGTGCGTGTCTCAGCATGCGGCCAAACCCTCCGCTGACGTTCAAGACCACGGACCATCTGGCACGCACAGTCAGTGAGGTGCTGCAGCAGACGGATACGGATGACACGGCGACCAATGTCATGAAGCCGGCCAAGGAGAGCGAGGGGAGCATGCCGCTGACACTCCTGGGCAAGCGCTACAAGGTGCTCGCGGCTGCCATGGCAACGTACGGCTTTGACGATAGCTTTAGCCTCGCGCAGCGTAACCGGTTTATCAGCTTATTCCTCATGGGCCTCGCATCGGCGACCAAGGAGATCACGCAGGCGTCGCACGATGGTATACTGTTCTACCGCAACAACATCGCCAAAGACCTACTACAGACGTCCCTGGCACCGGTGCTGCGTAGTCTGGCCGACTACCGCCGCCTCACTAAGAACTCTCTGGATGGACTCTCTCGGTTGCTAACCCTGCTCAACTCGTGCTTCAACGATACGCTGGGGGAGAAGCTGCTGGAACATCTCGATAAGTTTGCCGATTTGCAGGCCTCGGGCAATGGACAGGTCACCGTAGCAGGCGCTGCTAACGGGTGTGCCGCTGGCGTGGCTGCCGCTGGCGTCACGGGTCTTGCGGGTATGGACTTCGTTTTCCCACTTCGAGTTTTATTTTTTATGTGATTTGTGGACCATCCGATGGCAATATCGCTAGTATCTGGCCCTACTTTCCAGCCCATACTTCCAGCTCATAGCATGAAGTTATGCTGTCCATTGTCTACTTCACAAATTTGCGTAAATTTGCGTAACTCATGCATATATTTGTGGGTAGTGACATTTTAATTATGTGATCCGACTTTTACCCATTGGCCAATTGCAGCACATGTTTTAAACCCAGGTCCCATAATAGTGTGGCCCATATCAATAGACAAACCGATGTCTACGACTTGGTGGGGTGAAGTGTTCACCCGCGATAGACATCTACAGTACCGAAAACCTCGACAAGTTATGTTCGTGCACTCACGCGTTTCCTTTCCTGCACCTCTCTTGCAGGCGGAGTGGCCAGCGCCGCGCCCCAGAGAGGCGGCAACACCATCAAGATGACCGAAGACATGGGTGTGGTGGCATCGGTGATTGACATCTTCCACCAACTACCCCCAACGGCAGTAGGCTTCATGGACCGGTTGGTACCCAAGGTGCTCACCCTGGAGTGCCGTTTCAACCGGCACACAGCCAGCCCCTTCCTCACCCCGCTGGTGCGGTTCTTCACGCGCTTCCCGGGCGAGTCTATGACCTACCTATACCGCCAGCTCAACAGCCCCGTGTTCAGCGACCTCCTCGCGCGCGTGTTTGAGGACGCCGAATGCGGCGACCTGAAGGCGTACGTGGCGGAGCATTCGGACGTGTTCATCCACCAGACCTTCAGCATGGCCACTGCTGTGGAGGAGATGCGCTATCTCGCGTACTCCAGCCGTCTGCGCATGCTGGCCCTACGCATCACAAAGAGTCTCATGGCAACCAATCCCCTGGTGCTGGAGTCCTGTCCACAGCTGCTGACCGAGCTGCGCTTTATATGGCGCCGGCTAGGCTTGACACTTCCTGTGGGAGATGTGTCTCACACCAAGGAGTGCCAGTTGGTGGTAGATATCCACATGATGCACATCAAGGCCTCGCCCAACCACCCCGAGGCCATACAGAGTCTGTTTGACCTCGTGTCGGTGTTCACGCGTCGATGCATCCTGGACGACGGCTATGTGTCGCACTTCTACTTCACGGTGGTGCCTGATCTGTATACTGCGTCCAGCAAGAAGCTGCTGTTTGTGCGCTTTCTGGATACGTTTGATGACGAGACCGTGACGGATGAGACCAAGGCGCTGCTGCTGCAGAAGCTGATCCTGCCCGTGCTGTCCGCGGCGTTCAACGACGGTGATACGTTGTTGGTGCTGGACGATGCGTTGATGGTGCGCATTATCAAGTCGCTGATGGATGAACCCAACCCTGCCAACAGCCCCGACTCTACCATTCTGGGCGATAGCACACGGAACAGTCCCCTGCCGGCCCAGGTACGTATATATATGAGTGTGCGTGCGTGCATGTCTATCAGGTATGTGTTGGGGACAGCTCCATTTGCCAGGTTCTTGGGAGTGTATGCGAGACTGTAGGTTCTTGGGAGTGTATGCGTGACTGCAGGTGTTTGTGCGAGAATATGTCGTGCTTTGTCAGTGATTCTGAAGCGGGCAAGTCTTCATCAGAATAGCCACACATGTACCTTGTTTTCATTTTTCATTACTTTAGACCCATGTATGTGTCTCTCTGCCGTATGCCTGTACAGGATTTGCGAATCTATCTCTCTGGAATGTTCACTTGTCGGTAGGCTGTTGAAAGAATCGCCTGGTGTATTTGCTTTGAAACGTCTCTTCAACAGACTATGTATCGCTTAGTTACGCTCGCGCAAGTGTGTTTATTCAGATCTTTGTAGTTTCTGATGAAGGGGGCGGCAACAGAGAGAACGGGGTACGCTTCCCTGCTTCAGGGCTATTCTTTGTAATCTCCATCCGTCTCAGTGCGCGTTCAATATCTCCCTCGGTGTGTCGTATGGTGGTCCCACATGCCCTATAATCTCAGATATGGGACTGTTTCTGACCTATCACCAAAGGATTGTCAATCTCTTCGACCCGACCACTCACATCCTCTCGTTTCGGCAGCAGGCACCGGCCCTAAACACTACAACATCGCACCTTTGGCAGCAGACACAAATCCTTAACTGAGCCCAGAACACTAAATTCTTTCACTTCAGCACCCTGATCCTCTAGATAAAAAATGCGATAAACAAGTCCGAAGCCCGCAGTCCTAAACCCTCTCTCCTTCGGCACTGCACACACCCCCTAACCCCAAAACCCTCGCGCCACAGGCTCTGTCGCGCATGCCGTCGGTAGCCCGTCCGCGGAGAACCCGCATTGATCTGCTGTCGGTGGAGCTGATGCAACTGGCCACTCTCCTGGTCATCCATGCGACGGAACTGCTCACTAATGTGCGCAAGGGCATCATACAGTTTGCCTGGCACCATCTCAAGAGCGACGACACCACGGTCAAGCACTCCGGATACGTGCTGGTGGCTCACTTTGTGCAGGCCTACCCGGTAGGTCATACGCCGTGGCGGGCGGGTGTGGTTGTGAGTGCCCCGTATTGATTCAGTACTAGAGATTCTCACGCTCTATCTATCCGATGTCCATTGTACATTCTGTATGTGAGTTTATATACAGAGCATACTTAGTATGCATTCATAGGTATACGTTCCAACGTTTGTCTCATCTGAAGATGCACACCATCCTCTGTATTCAGACGCCGGAGAAGATCCTCATCCAGGTTTATGTCCAACTGCTAAGAGCGTTCCAGCCCGAAGCTCGGACTTTAGTCAAACAGGCACTCGATGTGTTGGTACCAACTCTTCCCTTTCGTCTACCACCTGATGACGAATGGCCCGATAGATGGATACGACTCACTCGCAAGGTATTATAAGTTATAGCACTCCTAACTTTGTAAGTGACATATGCGGATGTAGAGTGTGGTATTGGAGTCTTACTCTTTCAACTTTTGTGCTTCGTCGAAATATCGTAGTGCGAGGGTGGTGGGGTTTAAGCTGTAGCTGGATCAGCCTGGGTCCTATTCATAAATTTCTGCAAACTTTCCTTCTCTCATGCCCTTTGGATCGTTAGGTTGTCTGTATGCATGTTAATCAGTATAGCTATTATGTTCGATGGCATCAGTATCTATTGATAGCTATATTCTCAGCTGACCATCGTCTGTGAGGCACCCCAGATTGATGTGGCTTTCCGTTTTAACATGCAAATGTCGGATAACAATCGGTCTATCTAGTCTCATTCCATCCTCACCTTCGGGACATGAGTCACTCACTCCCGCCCCCTTTTCATTTCCCTATCCACACACTTTAGGTCATCATGGAGGAAGGCCACTCACTGCCCCAGCTTACGCACGTGTGGGCTGTAGTGGTACGTCATGCCGACCTCTTCTATGAGGCTCGGTCGCTCATAGTGCCGCAGATATCGAATTCTCTGCCGCGTATTGGACTACAGGTCAATGCAGCACCCGAAACCAAAAAATTGGGTGTGGACCTGGCGGCGCTGGTGATGTCTTGGGACCTCCGTGCGCGGACCGAGAATGAGGAGAGGGCGGGCAGGAGAGGGTCTGGCGACAGTACCGAAATGCCCGAAGGTACGCTGGGGAACTTTGGCGTGTATAGCGTGTCGTTCGGTTTTGTCTGTGCTTGATTGGGCTGACGTTGAGTGTGGGGTGTGTTCAGGTGTAGTATGTCCAATAAATTAGAGTTACAACTGCACGTCAAATTTGCCTGCTCTCAAGCCGTGTTTTCAAGCTCAGTCTCTGCAGGGGGGTATTCGTACCACTAGGGCTTATTTGCCATTCGAATCTTCACACGATCCGATAAAGACTACATCGCCTTGTATTTCCTTGATAATCACATCCGCTAACGACTTCTAATCCACCCGTGTACCTGTAGGCAAGCGTTACATGCCCTCTGACGGACCGGATGGTCTCGCGGCATCCTCCAAGCGCCTGCGTACAGAGAGCGGCGCAGTGTCTGTGTCAGCCGAGCCAGATAATGCCGATGGGAACGGTAGCTCTTCCGACGACGATTATCGCGTGGCTGCAGGGGTACCGGAAATGATCGTCAACTTCCTCATACGATTGGCGTGCATGTCCCACGATTTCTCGCGTAGATGTCTGCAGCTGCTTCAACAGATTCTGCATGATGGTATATACCGGGGTGTGGGTTGTATGGTGTGTGGATAATCACAGTGTAGGTGCTGAGTGGGCGTGTTTTGCATAGCAAAATCTACCAGGGGCTTTGTTTGTATGGTGGTCTGGAGTGCTCAGTAGGTGCTGAGTGGGCGTTTTCTGCATAGCAGTATCTACCAGGGGTTTTGTTTGTATGGTGGTCTGGAGTGCTCAGTAGGTGCTGAGTGGGCGTTTTCAGCATAGCAGTATCTACCAGGGTCTTTGTTTGTATGGTGGTCTGGAGTGCTCAGTAGGTGCTGAGTGGGCGTTTTCTGCATAGCAGTATCTACCAGGGGCCTTGTTTGTATGGTGGTCTGGAGTGCTCAGCAGGTGCTGAGTGTGATTTCTCATCATCCGCCTGATAGTATATACCAGGGAGGTGTCTTGGATCCGGTCGAATCTATCTATTTCGTATGATGCGTCAATGCCCCCATTCATGTGCTGTTCGGGCGACGATGCTTTGTTTTGGAGTTGTTCGGATCCAGTTAAATGGTTTCGATGTAGGTACTATTGTAACGTTTGAATGCGTGGTCTGTGGTCCTGTTAGGATCTGTCACGTCTGCATATCTACTCAAACTTAGATGTATGTCGATGTTTGCTCTCATATGTACCTTTCGTCAATTTCTATATGTCTTCGCAATCAACCGTGTACGCTGGTTTGTTGAGTCTTTCCGCTGCCTTTCAACACCTCAGCAGTCGCGGAGTGCTCTTGTGATCCCAATTGCCTACACCTAAAGCAATGCTTGTTATATACGGGCGCTACCAGCGACCAGCATAACATGTAATGTGTCATCAACACAATTGCGCTTACACTAACAAAGCGCACAAAAGCCAGACACTGATTCGCTCACATGCCTAAACATCTCCTTATTTGCAGGTGTCTGGCCGGATGCGAATGTCAAGTTTGTATACTTTGACAAGCTCATGCATCAAATGAAGGTAACGAAAAACACTGTATGGCTTGTGCGAGTAATGGCTTTGATTTTCATGAATTGTGTCAAGATAGTTTATTTCTTTTCGCCATGGAACAATGCTATATATGAAGGCCGCAGGTAAGCAACCTATCGTAAAAGGCTTACTATAGTGCGTGCACTTCGTCAGCTGTAAAAGTTGCGGGGGCTGATAGACTCATCAAGATACACATTCTTCACTGTCGCTTGCGACGCAATGAATACATTTTAGTTAGAGTACTGCCGCATTGTTGTGGATGGTTCTGCGATGGTTTGATGCTAAAACCCTGTAAGTGTCGGATCCTTTCTGGTGGGAAAATTGCGTCTCCGATGGTTTGCGACATCACATCTTTCTGCTCATGTGTTGCGCCCGTACGATAGGAACCGCCAATTCATATATGTTACCCATAACATGCAAGTTTTCAATTGTAAACGATCAACCGGAATCGAAACCTTGCTGGCGAGCACACCAGGATCATAAAGTGTCAATTTATAAATAATGTTTGTTTAATACTATTTTAAACTGCGTTGATCGAGTATGTATGCACCCTGCAATCCCTGCCCCGAATTAACACGTTGCGATTTGCCGTCTAAAATACCACGCACCCCCCGGCCCACCACAGCCCACAGACTCCAGCAACTGCGAGACAGTGAGTACCGCTGTGGAGATTTTGCGTATTGTGCTGTCGTCCCGCACACCAGGGAAGATTCTCTTCAACATCCACGAGCTCAGCGGCAGTCTGAGTGCATTACTCAAGTTCACGGACGAACGCGTGCTTACGCAGTTTAGACTGCTGCTGCGTCTGTTGTTGAAGACATACTCCATCCCCAGTTTTGTGCTCAAGGCCTCGCGGGAGGACACGTACGGCAAACGACCCGATGGTACAAGTGGCGGTAAGTGTCATAGGAAGGGGGTACAAGTGGTGGTAAGTGTCATAGGAAGGGGGTACAAGTGGTGGTAAGTGTCATAGGAAGGGGGTGCCTAGAAATCCGAGCTGTTGTCCTTGTCGATGTGTTTGTTTGGAAGGTTTGGACACAGACGAAGAAGTGTGTGCATGGGGTTCGGATGTATGTGTGTGTATGTTGGGGGTACGCCCTACGAGCACCTAGGTGACATACACCTGCATTGTACCTTTACATTCTACTCACTTGCACCTAGTACTTGTTTTGGGATACACTTGATCCTTAATTTTAGACTCACCTGCACCACGCATCTAACCCTGGTACACACAAACTTGCATGTATCGCCTGAACGTAGTGCACACTTCCACCCCACACTGAGCGCCACTCACCACAGGCCAGCAGTACTACATCACCATATAGATGTAAGTTACTAACGTGTGCCTTACATGGCCTGGATGTGGCGGTCTTGAATTCTCCATCGGGCTGGTTTCACTGCACTTCTCCACAGAACCAGCCGGTGTTCTGGCACGCAGCATAAAACAGAGCGCCCTGTGCGGGCTCCTATGCCTTTCTCCTGCTCGACCAATAAGCTATTTTTAAAACCCCAGTATCAAACCATCTCTCTCTCTCCCTATCTGCGTGTGTGTGTCTGTCGCACAGTCTCCCCCGGCCTGGGCTTCCTGGACATAGAGCTAGGGCTAAACGTCAACCTGGAACGCACTGGGGCGGAGGCGAACGAAGCGCTCAACAAATTCTACGGAACCATTGCACAGCGCATAACCCTCGCACTGGCACAGGCCGATGCTCAGGCAACGGCGGCGAAAGCCGCGGCGTCAGCAGCAGCAGTTGCGGCTGCAGGTACGGCTGCTGCGGGAGAGGCGGCTACGGACGGTGAGTTGCTCAATCACGCGCGTTTGTGCGAGCTTGGGCGTGCGTTTGTTTGGCAAAAGCTATGAGAATGAGAGGGGTTGCTACGGCGAGTGTGTTGGCTTGATGAGGCGTGGTTGGGCGCTTGTGTGTTTTGTACGGTGTAATTTGTTGGGTGAGTGCTATTATAGTGGTAGAAGCAGCTGCGACTGGTGCGTTGGACCTCTGTGATGCGTGTGTGTAAACTTGAGTGCTCTGTGTTCAATAAGCGGTGCTATCGAAATGAGAGAGACTGTTGCGGTTTCTTTGGCTTCTGAATGCGGTGTGGTTGTATTTGGTTGCTCTGTATTTATTGGTGAATATCACTGGAACGGGCGAGGTAACTACGCCGGTGAGTTGGATGGTAAGTGTTGTGGAGCTCATATTGACTGTGTTCTGGGAGTATGTCGGGGTGGTGCGATGGGCGGGACTGATTGCTTGGTGGGCATCTGGCTCCTGCCTGGGCTGTGCAATGGATGCACAATCAGATACGGTCAGTACGATAGAGGATAATGCAGACAACTTGGATACAGTTGTAGCACTCCGAACAATGACACGCCCGAACGATCACCCTCCTAGAAGCTGCACGCTTGGCACACAGCGCCGAGCATTGCAGCTTCACTTTAGAGTCTAATTCCGAAGCATCGCTTTCAAAAGTCAGACAAGACGTACTGAATAGCCCTATCGTTTCCGTGGTTACCAGCCGCGCTTCGTTTTTTTGGTTGTGCTCTTACTGTCAACCAGCGGTGGCAGTTCTTATACTTCAGCACTGCATCTCAACGCCTGTACGCCTACACACATTGTTCCACATATCCAGCTGGGTCTGCCACCAAAAAAGCAACGACTGCTGCCGCATCTAAGGCCGGGTTGTCTGCGGCGACCGTTGCTGCTGCTGCTGCTACCCTGGTACCATTGAAAGCTGCCGCCTTAGGTGTGTAAAACTGCTTGTCTGTCGGACTCTTCTCTTTGCGCAGCACATTGTGTGATCTCATCGCATCCGCAGCTCTACGTATCACTGAGCATTCATCCGTCGTCGCCACTTCATGCACACCACTGCCTTCCGTATCGCGTCTGTTATGCTCACTGGCTGTCTCATCCTTGTTTATTGTGCGGTATATAAGGTGGCCTCGGCCTACCCCAGTCACCAGGGCCTGCGCAACCGGCGGTGCCTCTGTATCCCATGCTGGGCTTGCTGTTGGAAATTGGCGGCAAATGCCCCGCCTACGTGGACGGCTTCATACCCCGGTTGTGCGACCGGCTGCGCGATCTACTCAGCGAACACTTGGGGACTACGGCCACCGCTGCAGCAAACGGTGAGTGGGGTGGGGTGTATTCGCTTGTGCGCAGAGTATTGTCTTCTGTATCATCACGGCCCAGTCGAGTTTGTTCTATGTATCGATAGCGTGTTGTAGCGGTTGTATGGCGCGGACTCACCTGTTCCTCTTTTCCCCTGTATATATTAAGCGTATGGCGTGCAAACAAATGCATTTTTATGGTTCTCAGACATATACACAGCGTACTGGCGCATCTGTCATCCTTAGTGCTTGGGCGTGATAACAAAAGCACTTATGATTTCTGAGTATAACCACTGCACACTGACACATTTGTTGATCCCCCTCAGCTGCGTCTACCAGCGCGGCCGCTTCAGGGGCTGCCAGAAGTGCGGCCCAGGTGTCGCAGCAACAACAGCAGTTGTACAGACAGCAGAAAGGAACAGCCGCGGCACATGCTCACTCAGAGGCAGACGTCCGCAAGCTCATCACCATCATAATCCGCATCATATGCCTGCGTGTAGATAAACTCAAGGGAGTGCCGTCCGGGAAGTCCGTTGCACCCGCCAAACCGGAGTCTGCAGCCGGTGGCGGGGTGCCTATGCAAACCACCGACAGTGCCAAGGCGACATCGGCGAATGCCAAGAGGAATGGGAAGGGGGCGACGGTTGATGTGGAGCATACGGACGCGCACATATACTTCCTGGCCGCCCTAGGCGAGATCATCACCGCTTCACAATCCGTGTCCCTGATCACTCATGTGATTAGCATCGCGCGGCAGTGGATGTTTCCCAGTGAGCAAGCCGAGAGCGCAGCATACGCCAGCTCAGCGGATGGCAGTGTGGACAATGACGATACACCATCTGCCAAGGCGGCCATGCCTGTCATGGACACGTGCATGCTGCTGCTGAAGATGGGCACGCTGCTGCGCTTCGACCAGGACGCGCCCGTGAACAAGGCGTTCCTGTCGCTGATACTGGCCTTGTTTGCGGATGCAGAGAAGATGCAGATGATCAACGCCGACGCTGAATTGCGCAAGGGTGTGCAGCCGCTGCTCATGGTCGGCCTACGCGCGGACAAGACGCCGGACCAACGCGCACTGTTTCTGCAGTACCACAACTCGTACGTACCCCAGACGGCCATTGTCGATAGACTGCACTTCTGCATCTCCGGCCAGAGCTGGGAGGCGGCGAGAGGCTACTTCTGGCTGACTCATTGGGTTGAAATCATGCTGGGTGTGGTCATGGCACGCAAGCCGGTGACCGCCAGTGGGACACCCCCGTCCACGACTGAAGCCTCCCACAGCGCCACAGACGCGGATGTTACTGCGGACACCGACGCTGCCACGAAGACAGGCACCCCCATGGATGTCGATAAGGACACAGAGTCCACGTACGACACCATGTGCAGCACGCAGGACCAGTGGACTGCGTCTATTGTCCACCGGTCGCTGGCTGGAGAGGTGCTGCTGCCGGTGCTGAGTCTGTGCCAGTTGTCGCCCTCCCACGCTGCGCAGGTTTGGTCAGACCTCTTTCCCGTGGTCTGGGAGCAGCTGAGTGCGGACGAGCAAGTGACCATTGGCAGCAAACTGGTGCACTTTATGACGCGCGCGTACCATTCGGTACAGAAGCTGCAACGGCCCAACCCCCTGGCAACGTTGGTAGAGGCCCTTGAGAAGTGCAATCAGGGCGCGGGCGGTGTGCGGATACCCATTGAGGTGCTGCAAATGGTGGCGCAGCAACACGGCTTGTGGCACTCCGCCTGCGACCGCCTGCTAGCGATAGTTGACGAGGCTCACCTGTCAGAGAAGGCACCCGGAGCTCGTGGTGCAAAGGGCGTAGGCGCAGGTACGTTGAGCGGCGCTACAAAAGTGGTCGATATCACCCCACCCAGCGGTACAGCCATGGACATAGGTGGCGCGTTGGTGCCTGCTGGTGCCGCTACTACCACTGGCGGGCCTGCTTTAGAGACCGAGACCGAGCAGGCCGCGGCGAAAGCTGAGCATGACAGGGCCGTGGCTGCGCTTAGCTCACTGTTTGAGCAGATGAGCGAACGCGATCTGATGTTTGGCCTGTGGTATCGAGAGGCCCACTACCGCGAGACCGTGGAGGCGCTGTCGTACGACCACGGATGCTACTGGACACGCGCGCAGCTGGCGTACGAGGCAGCCTTTGACAAGTACCGAACCGGCCCGCTATACAGCGCGGAGCTGTCCATGCTGCAGGATCGATGGATCGAGTGTGCGCGGCATCTGGACCAGAATAGCATGCTGCTGCAACTGGCGCAGGCCGAGAACATGCCTGAACTGCTGCTGGATTGTGCGTGGAAGCTTGGTGACTGGCCGCAGCAGATAGACACCCTCGCACGCGTCCAGGCGACCCACCCGGAGAACACCCAGCTCAAACTGTACGAACTCTTCTGCACCATCTGTAACCCAAAGGAGCCCAGACTTGTGCTGGTGCCCAAACTGGTCGAGCAGGGAATGGTCCTGGGCCTGCAGGAGTGGCGTGCACTGCCAACGATTGTGGGGGATGCGCATCTGGGGTTGCTGGGTAAGTTCCAGCAGCTCATGGAGATGCAGGAGTCCACCAAGATTCTTTCGACCATCCAGGCGCAGAACTACCACAGGCCCCAGGCCGTGAGCGATCTGAAGATGGTTCTCAACACGTGGCGTGACAGACTGCCGAACAAATGGGACGATATCACAGTGTGGAATGAACTGCTGACGTGGCGGCACAACGTGTTCACGGCGATTAATCTGGCATTCCAGCCCATGCAGAATCCAGCGTACACATCGGTGTCGACGGGTCAGACCCTCGCGCCGTACTGCGGGTACCATGAGATGGCGTGCACCATTAATAGGTTTGCGCACGTGGCGCGTAAGCATATGCTGATGGACGTGTGCCTGTCGTCGCTCAACAAGATATACACTCTGCCAAACATTGAGATCCACGACGCCTTCCTGAAGCTCTATGAACAAGCCAAGTGTTACCACCAGCTCACACAGGACTACGGGGCGGGCTTAGACATCATTAATTCGACGAATCTGGGCTACTTTGGCCGCAAGAAGAAAGCCGAGTTCTTCTCACTCAAGGGACAGTTCCTTCAGTTGATGCACAAGAGTACGGAGGCCAACGAGGCCTTCTCCACAGCGCTGACCATCTTCGACACCCTGGGCCAGGGGTGGCTGGCGTGGGGCGGGTTCTGCGATCAACTGTTCCTAGAAACGAAGGGTACGCCCCAACACCGTGAGCTTGGTGCGCAGGCTATCACATGCTACCTTAACGCCGCTCGCACGTCCAACTACAGCAAGGGCATGAAGGTCATCGCCCGAGCCCTGTGGCTGCTGAGCTACGATACCAAGGATAACCACCTGGCACACATCTTTGAGACTTACTATGAAGGGGTGCCGACGGAGTATTGGATACCCTGGATTCCACAGTTGCTGGTGTCCCTGCAAAGGCCCGAGGCGAGCGCAGCGTTTGTTGTGCTACAGGCACTCATCACAGCACACCCACAGGCCGTGTATTGTCCGTTGCGCACGTGTCTGATAGAGATGCGATACCAGGGCGGGTTGAATTACAGCCTGCAACAGCAGCGACAGCAGCAGCAAGCACAGGCGGCCCTACAGGCACAGGCGGCGCAACGGGCACAGCAACAAGCGAATGCTAATGCAGCTGGGACGACAGGTGCCTATACACAGTCACAGTACAACCGCACACAACCTTCGCACATGTCTACGGCTACAGCGCCGCCGGGAGGGGCGAGCGCATCTACTGGGATGAGTGTGGGAGTGACGAATGTCAGCACTGGCGGTTCGGCTGGGGGATTGAGGACAGGGAACACCGTTACTGCAGGTGCCCCGAGAAACACGAGCATGCAACAGACACAGTACGCTAGCAACCCATCACAGATGCAGACGCAGGCACCGCAACCACAGCATGTGCAACAGGGTCAACTCAAACAGGGCACCCAGCTCAAGCAGCCAGGTACGACTGTGTCCTACACCCACCCACCCACCCAGCAAATAAAGAACACGGGTGTGGGCGCGGGGCCAGTTATGAAGACACAGCCACAGCCACAGACATATGCTCAAGCTCAAGCTCAAGCTCAGGGAAATAGGCCTCGTGCTGCCACTGGCCAAACACAGCAGCCGAAACATCAACAACAACAACAACAACAGCCACAACAACAACAGCAACCACAACAACAGCAACCACAACAACAGCAACCACAACAACAAAAACCACAACCACCGCAGCAACAACAGCAGCAACAGTATACTCAGCCACAGAGCCAAGCTGGCCATACCGGATACACTACTGCGGCGACCAATTACGCAACCGCTCAACCACAAACCTATCAGTCACACGCTCAAGGACAGTCACAAGCACAGCCTCAGACTCTACCACAGTCACAACTGCAATCGCAACCACAGACGCAGTCACAGGCCCAACCACAGCGCCAACCACAGACACAACCACAGCCCAAGATACAATCACAACCCCAGGCACAGCCACAGACACAAATGGAAACGCAACCGCAACCGCAACCGCAATCTCAGCCACAGGCACAGACGCAGCAAGGAGGTGTTCCCAGGACACAACCACAAATGCACGCACAGACAGCTTCACCGCACACGTACACCTCACAGGCCGTGCAGTCCACATCAGCTGTCATACCCACAGGCCTATCCACCACAAGCACCGGAGGTGCCACAAACACCCTGAATCAGACAAATCAGACACAGACGGCCACGTCCACGCCTGCACCTACACAGAATCAGTCACAGCCGCAGCCACAGCTCTCGGGCACCCAGAGCACAAACACCGCTCAGCCATACGCACCCACGCCCACACCGACATCACAAGGCCCAACACATTATAGATCTGCCAATCCCACGACGCAAACGCAAGCATCTGTGGGTGGCCTCAAGTCAACTGGAGCCTCACCTCAGGTATGAATATCGCTTCGATTCTTTTAAGTGACGAAATCTCGCGGTGGTGTGAGGGTTGAGATTGAGTTGCGATTTCACCATGCAACAGCACATTTCAAATGTGCCAATTAATTTGGGTTAACGTCCTCTGTGGTGACTTTTCTAAGCGAGGAATATGTACCTCCAGCTTCACGCATGTATATACATTCATTTTCGTAACAATATGGACGTATACACTTCACTATATATATATATATTTTTTATATTTATATTTATACATA